ACCATTGAATCCAGCATTAAAATTGGTAATGATCTGGTTCACTGTTGCCAGAATCTTATAAAGATTATCTAAAGCTTGTTTTGGTTTTCCACAATACATAGGAATCTCAGCCAGAAGCAATCTGAAGGAAAATGATGCCATGGAACCTGGCCTAGTACCATAAAGTTCTGGATAAAATGTGAAATACATGTCTGGCTTATCTAAATTACCAAATGGTTTTGATTCATTTTCTAAAATATCAATTTGTCTCAGTTTTGTCAACAATGCAAGCCTTGTGTACCACAATTGCAAAGAATGTGGAGAGTGTTTACTAGGTTGATTTATCTTGCCATATCCTTGGGCATACACTGCTAATAATCTTCCTGACAAATTTATGGCTGCTTTATAACAACCAGCATGGATTAATGTTCTCAAGCCACGTTCATCTTGTGTCACATCAGAAGCAGTAAGAACATTTCTGTGTACATTTCCATCTTCACCTAACAAGCGTATAGCAGTGCTTCTTATTAAGTTAGGCATATCTCCTTGAACTGCAAGTCCTGGCATTGTTAAATTTTCTCTATCAAGAAAACTAGTCCCGGCAGTCGATGTAGCAACACTTCGTAAAATTTTTCTCGTTTGTTCAGAAGGTATCCAGGTATCTTTGTGTACATCATTTGTACTACTATGTTCGAGTCGTTCATTATCGAGTAATGAATTACACTTTAAAAATTCATTCGATTGATCTGTTAATAATTCAAAATCCGGGATTTTGCTCTCAGGACCATTTTGTACGTCGAAAAAATCTTCCTTCTTAGGTGACACGATCTCGTCGAAAATTGTACGAGATGCGTTTTCAAAATAGCGGCTAATGTCGGCCTCCATATCTTTTGTAACCTCTTCGGTGGTTTCGAATTGTTGTTGCGTAGTAATGTCATTTTTTTCAGCCATTCTACATTTAACTACTTTATTTTCAATCAAAATCTACATACATCTATTTATACAAGTTATAATATATTATAAACATTAAATGGAACAAAAACTTATATGTCAACTGTCAAAATTAAATGAAGACATCCTACCACGAAGTATATGTGTAATAGACATGCTTCTACCAACACTTCTTTTTTACAATTATTTTCGTACTATAGTACTAATAAACTTCAATTTCAATTGTCAGATTTAATTAATAAATGTAATGTATTAATAGTTTATAATATAATTGAAATGTAATAATTAAATATACCTGTTATTATTTATGCGAACGTGTAATTAATTACAATAATAACGTGTGTGAACGCACTACGTGTATGCAAGTAGATTAATAGGTTTTATGAATTAAGTGTAATATTATGAACGATACAATACAAAATGTTCGTCTTTCAAGCGGCTATGTTATGCCTCTTATTGGATGTAAGCTTATTAAAATATATAAAATATATTTTTGTTTTGTTAATTGTTATTCATTGTGCATAGATCCTAATGCAATTTTATATGTAATGCGTATACAAATCGTTAAAGATATTAAAATAATAGTAAAAATTTCATTACAGGATATTATTTATTGTAAAATATTAAATATTTCATTTTAGTTGGAACATATCGAATTCAAGGGAGAGATGTAATATACGAAGTAATTGATGAAAGTTTAAAAGTAGGATTTCGTTCTATTGGTATGCATATAATGAATTTATTAATATTGTTTATTTATCATCTAGTTATAAATATATTTTGCAAAGTTATTTTCTATCATTACACCATTATGTACAGATACAGCTGCCGTTTATCGAAATGAAGAAGATATTGGCTATGCTTTAACAAAATTATTGCCAAAATATAATCTTCAAAGAAGTGATATTTTTATTACAACTAAACTCTGTATGATTAACAATAATTTTAAATAGTAAAGTGCTTAAGTAGTAAATAGTGAAATTAGTTATATTAAAATCATATGTTTATAACAGCTCCAAGTGATAATGGAAATCTAAAGGAAATAGAACAATCTGTGCAAAGGTCCCTTAAAGCTCTTAATACCACATACATTGACCTGTATTTAATTCATTGGCCTGGGGCAACTGGTACATTAGAATCTTCTACAAATAATCCAAATTTAAGAACAAAGACTTGGAACAAGTTAGTAGATATCCAGAAACAAGAATTTGTAAGATCTATAGGTGTGTCTAATTATACAATAAATCACCTTGAAGAATTATTGCAAAATTGCAAAGGTGTGCCACCAGCTGTTAATCAAGTAAGACAATTGTATTCACATTTAATTTATGTCTTCATTTACAATGATTTAAAAGTTAAAACATATTGTTATATTATAGGTGGAATGTCATCCACATTATTGCCAAAAAGAATTAATTAAATATTGTAACCAAAAAGGAATTCATGTACAAGCATATTCTTCCTTAGGAACTAGTACTAGTACCAATCTTTTAAGAGACCCTGTTGTTACAAATATAGCTTCCCAACTTAAAGTACCACCAGCACAATTATTGTTAAAATGGGCTTTGCAACAAGGAATTGGTATATAATTTATCTTTTTTAAGAGATCTTATTAATATATGTCATTAAATAATATTGTTACAGGTATTATTCCAAAAGCTGTGAAGAAAGAACATATAAGAGACAATATATTGTTAAATTTTGTAATTGATGAAGAAAGTATGAAGATTTTATTTTCTCTACCTCAGTATAAATATGCTTGGGATCCTTCCAATGTTTTTTAGTTAATCTTATGGATAAATAAAATAGACACTAAAGCATGACAGATTTTGCAGATCAAGTTGCACAGCTTTGCTTAGAAAAATATATGAAACTTGGTAAAACTGGTAAACCATCAGAGAAAGAGTGGACTGTATTGTCTGGTATAGCATTAAAGAAGAACAATGGTTCACTGTCTTTAGTAGCTCTTGCCACAGGAACAAAATGCTTAGGAGAAATAGATTTAATAAATACCGAGTTATACGAAGAAGGTTGCAGATTAAGTGATTCTCATGCAGAAGTTCTTGCTAGACGTGCCTTTTTGCGATATTTATATGGGCAGCTTGATTTATTGCTCAACGGTGCTAAAAGCGATGTTTTCGTAATTGATGATGAGAAAAAAATTAAATTAATCGATGGAATATCGTTTCATTTTTTTACAAGTCAAACTCCTTGTGGTGATTGTTCTATATTTTTGAAAGAAGAATTTTCCGAAAATGATATACCTTTAACGAAAATTAGAAAATACGATTATAGCAATGAAGGAAAAGTAATTATAGGGTTAAATAATGATAACAAAGAGAAAGAAATAATTAAGGACATATATAGAACTGGTGCAAAATGTGTTAAATTCGAAAAGTTTCAAGATGCGCATCTACCCGGAGTAAACTATCACGTAATTGGACCGCTGCGTACTAAACCAGGAAGGGGCAATCCTACTCTCAGTTTGTCTTGTTCAGATAAAATGGCAAAGTAAATTACGTCATGCAAAATTATAATTTATTTCGAATACATATAGTACTCGTATGTAAAATGTAGTAGTTAAATGTTGTACATTAATTTTAGATGGCATATTCTCGGAGTACAAGGTTCGCTATTATCAATATTGATACCTCCAATAAAAATTGAAACTATCGTAGTTGGGGGCAATTCGCCGTTTTCTTTAGAGGCGATGGAGCGTGGATTATATAAACGATTTAATGAAAAAAAAAATAATTTAAATATTATACAAAGTAAACTTTCTTTTAAACAACTAAAAAATGATGAGAGAAAGCATCCATGTTCATCAAGCATAATATGGTGTGCTGTAAGAAATCGGTAATTTATGGTATTTATAAATTGTATATTTTTATATTTTTTTTATTATATAAAATAATGCTGATAACTTTTCATTTATAGAGATACAGAAATAGCAGTTGAGGGTAGAAAGCAAGGAGCCACAAGAAAAAAGAAGGGTAGCTATTTACTTGTAACGAGACGAGTTTTTTTTGAAACTTTCTTACGAATTTGTGATAGGTACCAGAATTTAGAATGTAATACAAGACATCCCAAAAAAATGACTTATCTAGATTGTAAAAAGTGGTCTAAGGATTACCAAAATTTATGGAATACACTGAAATCAGGGTCTTTCCATGCTTGGCCTTCTAAACCAATTCGACTACAAACATTTGTATTATGACATCTTTAGCATATTTTTAATATAGGAATAGGGAAAAAGCAATACCTGTTGTGCTGACTCACACTACACATCCTTACAAATATGAGCTTTTTCTAAAAATTTTCAGGTTAAAAACATGTATATATTTTTATCATTTATTAATCTCATTTATAAAATTGATATGTATAAAAAATATATAAATACAGTAATATTTTACAACGTCCGTTTACCCCTATTAGAATATCCTACACCTATACAAGTTAAAACAACTTGATCTAATATCTCATCATCTTCTCTAAGTTTTTCGATTTTAAAAACGACTCCAAAGAAATCTCTCAAATCGCGTAAAAACTGTATCCTGTAGAATAATGTTGTTTTTAAGCTATATAATTCTGTTCAATGACTTATGTATGTGTAAAATAAACTATTGCTTACATTGATGGTGTTAATGGTCCTGTTACAATTTTAGAAACATCTTTTTTGCCTAATGCCATAAACATTGCAGTCATAGATTGAAAAGGTGAATCCACACAACCATTTCTAAAGTTAAGTTAATTTGTAGAATATTTGTATTACTTTTTAGTATACTTTTGAGTCATATTTGTATTACCTATAAATTTCATCAACTAATTTCATAGCTGCTTCTTTACCAATATCTTCTGGTACACAAGGTAAAGAACCTGCTTTCATGAGAGGTGAAAATGCTTCTGCACCAAAAACAACATCTGTAGTTGTTTCAGCTGATAAAGTTACTCCAAAGCCTGTTATATTTGTAAGTATTTAAATACTTAATGTGCTTAGGGGGAAGAAATTGTATAATACTAAATATATACCTGGTGATTTTCCACTAGCTGCACCTTTACAATGATCTGTATGAATGTAGACATCTGGTAAGAACTTTAACAGTACACCTTTAGCAGACTCCACAATTCGATTAGCTATAGCAGGAGACACACGTATACTGCATGCAGTACCTCTTACACGTTTTACCATTCCACTATTTTGAAACTATAAGTATACTTCTTTTAGAAAGTGTGTATATTACAATAAGGAAATATATATTTAAAAGAAAAAGTATGACTAACATGAATACTTTTAAGATTACGACTAACAGGACACTTGAAACGAATTTCTCCACCACCTAAAGGTGCAGCTCCTCTTTTACTAATAGTAAATAGAATTTCATTATCACCCAACAAAAATCTTTTTAGTATAGGCACAGCAGCTACTTTTATTCTGTCCACAGATGGATCTTTAACGTTAAACCATGTAATTTAATAAACATTTTAGCTTATTCTTATTAACTATTAATTATAATAAAAGACATATGAGTTGCTACTTACCCATTGTATTATTAGTGATTCCTTTAAGTTTTACATCAACAGCATTTTTACAAAATGGAGCTAATATTACAATTGCTTCTAAGTAATAGCCAATACCACGTTGTAAGCTACAATCGTGCTCTAATTCACCGCCATTCAACAAACCGGGACCATAAAACAAATTGGTTCCTGTTTCATTTAATTCTATCCTTGTTCCGTTCGTAATTTTATCCAATAAACGTATAAAACTGACTTCATACTCTAGGATGTAAACATGTGTATACAATAAATTACATAAAACATGTTCAATTTTTGTATCAATATTTCAACTTTTGAATATTTTTGAAAAACCAATACATTTAAGCTAACCTTTAAGCCCAGGATCATCATCTTTAATTCTGATATTTGTAATTCGCACAGGTTTGCCTGATAAAGTTGACAATATTAAACGATATCGTAGATAATTGCAGCCTTCATATATTAAAACATTATTTTTTATAATAGCTGGCATGTTTCATTAAAATTCGCGACAATAAACACTTGATGGAAGCATGGAACTATCTTACGTCATAATTCTTTTTTGTCAAGTATAATAGGTACACTTTACATGTAAAAATCAAACGTATTGGGCAAGAAAAGAAATAAACTTCTTCGTCATTTTCATCGAATTTTTTTTAAATAATATTATATTACTGCTACAATTTCTGTTACGATTAATGTAAAGGTTTATTCGAAATGGCACTAATAAAAAAGAAAATATTTGTGACTGTTGGCACTACCAAATTTGACGAATTAATCGAAACTGTACTTAATACGGAAGTATTAAAGGTAAAAGAAACAAAAAATGTTATTTAATTTGATCACTTTATGGGGTAAAATTAACATAAAACATGCAATTTTATGAATGTTTTAGGCATTATCATCAAAAGGTTACAATGAAATAACTTTGCAAATTGGTAAAACTGTACATGTACCAGATTGTACACCACGTTGCGGTTTTGTTACAATAGAATATTTCAATTTGCGTGCAAACGTAATTGAATATGTAGAAGCTGCTGATCTTATCATAAGTCACGCAGGGGCAGGCAGTATTCTTGATGCTTTAGGAAATAAAAAAAATCTGATTGTAGTTGCAAATCAAAGTCTAATGGATAATCATCAATTAGAATTAGCTAAACAACTTTACAAGGATGAGCATTTATATTACTGTATCTGTGAAAATTTGTTAAATACTATACAAACAATGAACTTTTCTGTATTAAAACCTTTTGTTGATGATAGAAGTAAACGTATTGCTGAGCTCATAAATCAAATAATGGGATTCCCAGACTAAAAATAGATGTTTGGAAGGTTTAAAAAATCTTGTTAAATGTATGACCTTACTTTTTATTTATAAGGAATTTAAAAGGTTAATTGATATCATTTAATATATTTAAGTTTTTAACACATTTTACAATATGAGTATGTAACAGTTTTAATTGTTATAACAGATATAGCTTTAATATAATTTACAACAATATACGTAAGAATGACTTAAATAACTGTTCCTTAAAATTATGATGTAATAGCATAGAAAAATTTAAATTTTCAGTTAAGAAACACGATGACGGAGAATAACGGTAGTTCTTTTCTCAGATATCTTTTATATTATCTTTGGATGGCTGCTAATTGTTAAAATAAAAGCTATATCGGTAAAAATATTTTCTGAACACTGCAGTGTTAAAATGAATTCGATTCCTCAACAAATATTCACGTTTCTTTGTAACTTTTGTCTTTAGGAATAAAATAGACAGGCAACCTCGCGTGACGATCAACATAGCCATTACGTTATCGATAATGTAATGAATTCGCACATTTCAATGCATTATATCGGTTCGTTTCTTAGTCGAACCGTTAGTCGAATCGTGTATACTTTCAATTTATTGTACGAAGATACATCCACATGAGGCAAACTACATATGTATATTTATAGTGGCATGTGTTTTTAATTACAGACCAAGCCTAAACGTGTCATTTCTTTTAAGAGTTCGTTTCCCATTTGCGCAGGGCTCCTTGATACTATTACACCAGCCTGTAAATAATATTTGTGCATTTCATAACGTAAATACAGATGTAAGTATTAAGTTTTATTTTATAGCAAACAATAAATTAATCAATACCTTTTCGAGTGCATTGATTTTATCTTGCGCGCCTCCTTTTCCTCCTGAAATGATTGCCCCAGCGTGTCCCATTCTTCGTCCAGGTGGGGCAGTGATCCCAGCGATAAATGATACTACTGGTTTAGCGTGACTACCCTACAATCGTATTGGGCGTATATAATATTTATACACGTTAATATTGAAATAAATTATATTTACAAGGATATAGAACATGTTTTGGTGTGTAAGGAACATCGGGACATCTGGAAAAGAAAGTTTATGAATTAGGATGGGATGGACTTTGGATACCAATAATTTAGAACTGCAACCAACAGTGTTATGTTGAATGAGATATTCCGCTGCCGATTCTTCTGCACTGCCACCGATTTCACCAATCATTATAATACCACAACAGTCTGGATCCCTGAGGAATACATCCAAACAATCAATGAAGTCTGTTCCATTAAATGGGTCACCACCAATTCCAACACAAAGTGTTTGCCCTAGTCCAGCCTTAAAAAAAAAGTTTTGATATTTTATTGCAAGATTATTAAAAAAAAATAACAATGCTTTTTTTATAGAAGACAATAAAATTAAAAAAAAAACATACTATTAACTTACAAGGGTTGTTTGATTCACAGCCTCATATGTCAAGGTTCCTGATCTTGACACAATACCAACTTTTCCCTTTTGATGTATGTGTCCTGGCATAATACCTATTTTACACTGAGATAGTCATATGTTACAAAACAGTACATAATATAGCTATATCAAGTTAAACAAATTCGTATGTGAAATATTGACAAATTTTAAAAATCTGCACCTGTTCTGGAGCTATTATTCCTGGACAATTGGGTCCAATTAAGCGAGATTTGCCTTGCTCTAAAAGTCGCCTTTTAACTTTAACCATGTCATGTTGTGGAATACCTTCTGTAATACATACAATTAATGGCATTTCAGCATCTATTGCCTCCATAATAGCTGATGCTGCACCTGGAGGAGGAACATAAATAACAGTCGCAGTAGCACCAGTAGCTTCTTTTGCCTACAATAAAAAAAAAAAAGCATATAATTTACAAATTTTTTTCATATAAGACATGCAATTCAAAATTTGTTTTTCAACCTCTTTCACAGTCTTAAAGACTGGTTTCCCAAGGTGCTCTGTACCAGCCTTCTTGGGGCTGACACCACCTACTATTTTAGTACCATACTCAATGGCTTGTTGGCAATGAAATGTTCCTTGTTTACCAGTAAAACCTTGACATATAACCTTGGTATTGGAATCAATTTTTAAATTTTTTCTAGTATCTACATAGTTGAACCTTATTTGAGTACGCAATAAACCTCCACAATTTCTGACTGGAACACAAAAGAAATGATATATTACAATAATATACACATAGTACTTTATTAAATTGTCTTTTAAAAGTAAGATATTAGAGAAATGAACATGCTAATAGTTATTTCTATTTCAACTATCATCTACATATTTTAGTAAGTGTCACAAGTATGAAATATAGATTCTTTTGCAATATAGAAAGGTTTTAAAATTGGTATTGTTCTAAACATATGTTATTTATAGAGGCAATATCAAATTTCTTAACTTTTAGGTCAAGGTTCAATGACTGAATATCATTCAATGAGTTCAAGTGATTAGTATGACATTTACTGTGACATCCAACAATATTAATTGACATATTATAATGAATATACAGGACAACTTGTGTGACAGTTGTATTATACTGACAATAGTATTAATAAGTACAATTCGAATAATATAGTTAATGTAAAGTATAATTTAAAAAAAAGTATTATGAAATTTGTACTGCAATATATGCAGTTGAAAAAAAAAAGCAGAAATTTATTACAGAATTATATAATGCTTCATTAATAGTTAAGCTTAATTGAAATTCTGTAACGAGTCCAATGAATTAATATGAATTACTCCAATAAAAATTATATTACTGATAATTATATATCCTTATATAATGGGAGTATTAACATAAACGTGGAATGTCAAGAGTATTTTTAGTTTTGAAAATAATAGCGCGATCTACGAGAAATACGGAAAAGGGGCGTGAAATCTTACGATATTTCACAAACATGTTTCAACTATTTCGAAATATACAAAGGTCTTCTTTTAACATTGAAAAACGTCCGATAATTATCCTTCACTTACCTGTGAATTTTGAAAATGTCCTGACAGCCACAGCCATTTTTTAATTGATGTTTCTCTTAAAATAGTCAATAACCGAAATTGAATTATTAGAGGATCACCATTAAGAGAACTAACTTCTGCGGACTAGCGAGGTCAAGTTCGAAATAAAATACACGAACGAAGTGTACTTATCGCATGTACCTACACTCCAGACTCAAATGAACTTGTCAAATGACAGGAACATTGAACATCGAACTGATTGGTCGAGTACTTCGCAGAGCATTGCCTTCAACCGAATTTTCAATGTAGAAATTTTTTTGCAACCAGAGTGACGTTATAGCATGAACTTGAAATCGTATTAGAATAATTGTCACGATATGCGAATTAGTTTTAGTATTGAATATTTAAAACGTTCATGTAATCCTGAAGTTTTTTTCATTCATAAATGGTATTCTTCGTTATAACATTTCTGTTTAAAGTGACTATTGAAGTTAGGCAGGGGATGCGATGTATTTTTAAATTTAAATATATACATATGTATATCATTCTATATATTTTTTAAATTTAGTATTTTGCAATTTATAAAGATGTATTAAATTGTGAATATACAGTCATTCTGTTGAAGGGTAACATATTTTTATGATTTTGGGGAATATAATGTATAACATTTCCTTAAGTTTCCTTAGGTTTGCAAGCTTCTTGTTCATTGGTAAATGTATAGAGACATTAATTTTGTCCCCAACTGTATCTTTGAAATATGCCCTAGGATTATACACGAAATCCATGCATTTTAAATAATAACATGCAATGTGAAAATTAGAATAATGTGATAGGAAAAGGAGTTGAATAGATTTTGAAAAATTTAAATCGTATGTATAAATTTTAAATTCATGTTACAGTAGTTGGAAGGAAATATAATGATAGTTCTATAGCACGGAAAGGTAGCATGCTGCATAATCAACGGAGGCCACCTAAAATTGAGCGTAGTTAATGAAAGTTACGATTGATGGTATCATAGTTGCCAAATGTAGATTACCGAAAGAAAGTCTACGTAAATCCTTTTTCGATTTTATTGTTATTACTGACATAAGAATTTAATTATACACAAATTTTCCTATGGATTGAAAAGTTTGTTGAAATTCCAAGTGATCCGATTACGAGGCTAATATTGACGCGCATAGATAGTACGACATAAATGACAGTGATGTATAGAAAATAAATATCTTGATAAAAATGACGTGGTGAAGAGAGCCTTATCGTTTTACAAAACCATCGAAGGAATTGCAAGGTACACGCTCTTTTGTAGTCTGTACTACTTCGTTTTCATACCGTTTCAAGAATTTACGAAAGGAACAACCAAATTCATTTGAAATGCTGATTGCTTCAAATGTAATTACGAGTATAATTAAAGAAAATTATTTCTTGAAGTTGAGAAGCTATTTCAATTACATTGCTCACGCATGATACAAAAAGATTTTTACTATATATTATTATACGTTACGTGTCATAAAATTATTTCTGTCATATTAAAGACTGATACTTTTATATGTTTAGAATGTATCTTTTTAAGAAGACAAAAGAAAGTTCTGTCAATGGGAAATAAAGAAAACATGTACATATTATTTTATCTGAATATATAATTTCTTCAATCATCTAGTGTTTTATTTCATTTCATTGCTCTGTGTTGGAGAATTCACTTTACTTAGTAATTAAAGTTGTATTCTGTGTTTTCTAATTCATTGTATTGTAAAACAAGATATGTATGTTTTAAAATACTTGTTATAAATATATGACAATTGGAGTGCACAAATTATTTTAGTCTGTATACTGGTATTTTTTATTAAAATATTCATATTGTTAAAATACTTGTGTTTTATATAGTTTTTTTTTATGCATAATTGTTAAATAATTAAATCCATCAAATAGGATGGAAGAAAGTACAAGCTCTGAAAATGTTTGGTGCAAAACTAAAGCAGAAGAACAAAATAGTTTAAATGATACAGAATCTATAACTTCGTCTATGGAGGCCAATGCCACTTCCTTAGCAGATATATTTGATACAGCATTTACATCTACAGTTGATCCTTCTCCACAACCAAGATTTAATTCAGGTATAGATGAATTGTTAACAATATGTTATACATAAATGTACTTTTTATATTTTAAATCTTAGGTATTAAACTTTACAGTTAACTTTGTATGTAATCTATATAACTGTACTTGGATTTCTAAATTGAATTTTTTTATTGTAGCTAATGAGATGGAATATGATCACTTGTTTGCGGAAAGTGATGTGGAAGATTCTGATGTAATACCTATCAATCCATATCCATCACATCATTCTACTTCAAACAGTAATTTTGTTTTTGGTAGTTATTTAACTGGGCCTGAAGCAACAGGGCAAATTTTGCATGAACATGATACTCTAAAACATAAAAGTAAAAAGAATGCAGAACATAAATCATTAAATGATCAGCAGTCTGACAGTTTAGGTGTAGCTGGACCATCTAGATTGTCAGATGGCATTTCTAACAGGTATGGCCACAACATTAAGTTCTTTTATTAATTGTTAAATTTGTTTGTATCATTCTCACTTTCAGCACAACCAGACCAACATGCAATGATACAAATGTTTTAAACAGACTTATACTGAATGAATCAAATAAGTTGTATCATTCAATTTTGCCAAATACAATTAATTCTCAGCAGCATTCTACATATACAACAAGTATGTTTTTTTGTATCAGTACTAAAACAATAATTATGTATTTTATAGTATATAAATTAAATTTATATACACTGAGTAGGAAATGATGATACACCATCAGCACCAGATCTACAATTAGATTGGTCTTCAAGTAGTGATGATGCCAGTAGTAGTGATGATAAAGATGGATCTGTTGAAGTTCTTGGAACAGTAAATCACAATAATAAGGTAAGATAGGTTTATTCTATCAAATTATTTGAAAAAAGAATTTATGTTAATAGTTTTCACAGCACAAAATATTTTTATATATTTTAACAGCAAAATTCTGTACAAAATAACGAGGGAGGTAATCGTCCAGTAACTGTAGTTGATTTAACTGTGGAATCAGATGAAGAACATACTCCGCCTGCTCCAGCAGCTTCGGTAGGAAGTCCGAGGACAACAGATTATGTATATAGGTATGAATAACAGTTTATGTAGTATATAACATATTTCAGTGTTTATTTTAATAATTATTTCAGTGGGAACAACTCTTGTTACATGTATGGTTCACCAGACTATGTGTATCGTGCCCGATGTATGGTTCCTCTGCATACGATGTATAATTATAGAATTCCAATTTCCGTCATACCTGGAGAATATGAGCAAGTTCGAGGTAAAATTTGTTGTAGGTTTTATAAATGTTATGAAAAAAATTCAAGACTAAACATTTTAGAGAATTTATTTAAACCAAAAATATTTTTCTTCTATAGATGCTTCTACGGGAATACCGAGGGCACGTATGCAGCCTGTACTAGAAAGATTATGGAGGATGCAACAACGGGTTCAAGAAGTACGCAGGAGGTATCTTTATCCAATAATGCAAGTTCATCACGCGTTAGTATTATGATAGATATTAAAAACTGTACATTATATAAATTAATTAATTATTTAGTTGTACAATGTTATACAGTCCACACGTGCATCAAGTAGGCCAACATACATGCAATAACGGAAATACTAATCCCCCGAATAATCGTTGCAACGGCGCGGAAAACATGACGGTCGCAGCAAATGATATTCCACCTCCAATTTACCCACCACCTCTACAACCCATTGTTGATAGTCGCCCAGAAGCCAGAGGGCCATCGAGTTATAACCCATCTTGTCCTGTGATGGTAATTTCAGTGTCAGACTTTTTTTTTTATCAGTCATTCAGTTTTTACCTATACCTTAATTTTCTGTTTGTGTGTAGGAAAATCCCTTGAGTGCAGAAATGGTACCACAACCACCAGTAGTGTTGCCTTCAATGCCAGTTCATCCTCTTGTACATCATCACCATCAGTATCGTACCCATGAAGGATCACAACAAATGCACCACATTTGTCTAGATTTGATACCCGAATCGGTACGCTTTTGAATATGATGTGTTGAATAATATAGACTTTCGAATGTGTTATATAATGTATACGTGTTTCATGTAGCTAGATGCTCGGTTTCACCGTACCCGTCTGCGTCGCCGGGCGGCCGCGCGCCGTGCAGAACTTGCGCGCAGTGAAAGATTTGCGCATATTTGTTGCGGAGCAACGAAGGAGTCAATTGAAAGTCATACATTCCGTCATAAGTACAAACGGGTAATGAGTTATACGTAAATTTATACGTTCGTTATCGCATTATCATTCTTGTACATTGTATTTTTATATACAACGTATTTTTTTACAGGTTAAGAAAGTTGAAAATGGTGAAGATGCTATTGAAAAGTGTACTATATGTTTATCTGAATTCGAAGACTGTGAAACTGTCAGGTACAAATTAATTTTTATATACAAGAGTAATTTAGTGTATACTATTTTTAGTATCTACTTTACAGAAATAACTTTGTTTCTAATGTTTTTATACAGGAGGCTTCCATGTATGCATTTATTTCACATAGACTGTGTTGATCAGTGGTTATGTACTAATAAACGCTGTCCTATATGTCGAGTGGATATCGAATCTTTTCCACAGAGGGAGTTTACTAGCACTGACACAGTTTAAGGTCGATTTTAAACATCTGTTTTCGTTTTTAAGTATAATCAGGTAATATCCGCATCTTCTAAATATTTTAAAAGATCCTATTCATGAGTAAACCTTCTGATACTGCTATGAATATTGGTGCAAAAAATTTTACTGTGAATAATCAAAATAACGATAACTGAATAGAACTAAGTTCCTGGAGTAGTAGGAGAGATTTGTTTCGATTTAACATTATTGTCCTTGCATTCATGTCATGGGTGTTTTTAATAGTGTACATAAAAAATGTTAGGTTTGTTTATAACGCGTTATTATATTAAAGAAATTTGTATTTTTCCGATAATTTATCGCGTGTATAATGCTTCGGATGACAACAAATTGTTGTTGAATTATATCGAGCATTTGAAATGGTACATGTCTTCGCGTTTTTTATCCTACCTTTTTTTATTATGTGTGATAAAAATGTGCAACGTTAATTATTGAAATCTCGGAAAAGTAACCAATACTGCCAATTTTTTAAAAATTAGAACAAAAACAATGCGAACTAACAAGAATCCCACAAAATATTATTTCTGTGTTATAGTAATTATATACCTGGGTACTATATCGATATAAATTATATATATGCTAAACGTATTTTAATAATTTGTGAAAAAAGTTGAAGGTTTCGTATTAAAACACATAAACGATTTTTTGAGGCTATGTAAACTTTTCGTAAGTTTTTATATTAAACGAGTTTTTTAATAAAATTATACTCGAATAATTCTGCGAACATATAAACAAATAAGTCTAAAATTTATCGATGGTTTACTAATGGAGTAAGTTCTAATATTAAAATAATAAATCTTACGTTTAGTTAGATTCGCAGATGTTACATGACGTATCGAAAAAAATAATGACTTTTAACCCTTTCACTACAAAAAGCTACTATAGTGGCCGCTCGCGAATCTATCCTAACAAAATTTTTTAATCAGATAAAATTTGCTCTTTTATGAATTGAAATATCCACGAAAAACTTATGCTCGCAGCTCACTGTTCCCCATTCAGCGGTGGCATATTAGTGGTAAACTCCGTCGTAGCGAAGGGATTAAATAATACCAAATTTTGTAAATGGACTAAAAGAATCTTCGTGAAAATAGCATAAGAGTTGGAAATAAAAGAACATAATAAAAAATATAAAAATAATGTAGAAAATTTCTAAAAAAAAAAATGCATTAAACAAACGCGTATAATTACTAATGCTATGTGATACTACTGTATATTATTATTGTATATATTAACATAGTAATATTAATATATATTACGTGTATACTATTATACAGTAGCATTACGTAGGATTCTTTTAACGGCATATTTGATTATATGCGGTGTAATTTTATAACTTGTAAGAGTTTAAATCAATAACTGATTGGATTTATTCAACATGATAGAACAATTTTCACCAAGTGTATTCGTAATCTAAAAGGAAATACTAAAAAACAAAAAAGAAAAAAACAAACCGACTATTTTCACTTGTTTTCATAGAAACGAACAATATAGATGCCTTTTCAGAGGAAAGATATTTTATGAATGTCCTTGATTTTTATCCCTAATGAAAAGTACGATTGATAATTCTCACCTCGTTATTAGCAGTAAGTGTCGTGTTTATGTGATCATTTTTTCCTAATAACTAGAGGAGAAGAAACAGTATAATGTAAACACTAAACTAAGTTAACAATCGAAGGCCATTGAATTGATTATGCAAACTTTCTTAGCCTAATTAGCGAAGCTAAGCCAAAGACTTTGAATTACGATTGAAACATTCAATACTTGACTGCTCCTCTTAAATACTGAAACGCACAGATTTCACGAGAATTATACGATACTTTGATTTTAAGGAACACGCGCGAGACACGTTTATTTAAAAAAAATTCATTCTGTGCACAATGGACGCTATTCGAACAAGATACACGCATATATATATATATTTTCAGTTATAATTACTCAATGAAATCAAAGCTTTGCTATATTATATATAAAGAAATTATAATACAAATTATTTACTGCACTGTGCGGGCCCGTATGT